TTTGTGCTCACAGCTCGCCTAATTTCTTCATCAAATGGCCTTGCTGGTCTGGGTATTATTGTCACTTATTCGATGCTTTACATATAGCACATTTTGCTGATTTTGTGTCTATATCTGTATATGCCTCCTTTTAAAGTGACAAAAAACATTTTTATCGTCTCTGAATGTTCTTCTTTTTAGTTCTTTCCATGTTCTGCTTCTAGGTGGCACATACTGAAGAATTCAGCTGTATTGGACCAGGTCATGTTGTATGTATGTAATGAGGTACTACTTCTTTCTCCAATTAGACTATGAAGACCTGACAAACAGTCATACTATGAATCGAGAACTTTTTTCTTGAAAGCGTGCTTCCGCACATCTAGTTAACTTGTTTCCTCTCATTGATTATCATAGATTTAACTTTCTTTGTGCTGATAGGTCGCCTAATTTCTTCAGCAAATGGCCTTGCTGGTTTGGGTATTACTGTCACTTATCCTTAAGATGATGCCCAAAGGAAAATGACAGAGAAGTCAACATCGTTCGATCCAGAAAACTCCGACGACGGCGCCGCCGCATTTGGCCCCACCACCCTCCAATCCGGCCGGGTCCGTCCACCTCCTCCCGCCACCGCCCCTTCAACCGCGGTATTGACCTCGTCCCGTCGTCATCTTCAACGCCGATTCGTCTCTCCGCGGCTCGCGTGGATGGGCGCGCGGGCCAGCAGGCGTGGAGGCGTTTCGGTCAGTACCCGCCTCCTGTTCCACCGGAGCAGACCCATCCAGATCCAGGGCCTCTCTGCTCCGCGCCGCGGTCAGCAACCCCCAACTAATGGTTCAGCGGCTGTCTTCTTCCTGCAGATTGGTTGGTACTAACTGTATCTAATCCCGCCCAATTACTGGTTCATCCGGATTTTGCTGCTAGATTGTGTCGACGTAGACCATGAAATACTTCATACTCTGGTTTGAATGACAGTTAATTCATAGCAAAAGTGTCTTGTATACTCTGATCTGTTGCTATCTTCAGTTACCCTTTGATCAACTGTAAGTAAGATCACCGTAGGATAACCCAAAGTGTTTAAGTTCCTTTCGTCTTGGGTAGAATTTCCAGCATAATCGGTATGTGTTCCTTTCCTCTGGCTGGACGAGCAACCGGTTAGTTCTTAGTATGGGTCATTCAGCTGGTCATTAGATTATTATGAACCTACGAAACCGGGTGATTCACAGATGACAAATTGAGGACTGGGTGATAGCCCAGTGGTACGTGAGAGCACCGGCCTGGTCCAACTCTTAGTAGATGTGGAATTTGGCCACATCGGAAAAGTGTATTCCAATTAGATCTCCTCTCTATACCATTTTAGTCTGGCAAATTAATAGAGGAAAAGACTAGACCAACCAAGAAATATGTATGCATATAGTCAGTGGCGGACCTAGAAATAAAAGAAAGGGTGTGCACACTTTTAAAAAATTAAGGTATATTTCAATTAGCTTGCATGAGCCTTAAAATTAGCTAATTTTTACATGGTGAAAAAATGTTTTGCAAAAATCTGGGTGTGCCATGGCACACCTGGCACACCCCCTGGGTACGCCACTCCATATAGTGAGGTACCTGTTTCTCCAATTAGATTCTGAAGACCTGACAAACAGTTATACTATGAATCAGAACTTTGTTTTATTCTGTTGTAAAAACACTTCTCATCCATGGACTATCGAGGATTACGTTATAAGCTGGGTAAAGCCTTCCTAACTATTACTACTTACAGTATAAAACTAACAAAGAAAGAGATGTTAATGAAAACAAATAAATACCATTGTCACAAAAGTTCTGAGCAATTGCATTTTTATTACAGAAACCAATGAAGTATAGTTAGCTGGCGTGTTGTTTCAAGATTGTCTTTTGGTCCCTACATGGCTACATCTTTTATTTCTCTCACTGCCGTGTAGCGTGCATTCCCGCTGCAAAGCCTGGGGCATAATCTTGTTAAGAAATAGAGATGCTCCGGCTATTATCGTGTTATGTCAGAAGGCTTAGTTAGCTGTCCGTATTATTATACATCGACCGAGAAACAATGCCCTGTGCAAAGGTTCTGCCAGCTCTGGATTGAGTAGTTTATCTCTAATTAGGCTCTGCTATTTATCTAAAAAGAATACCGGCCCAGCGCTGAGCTATTTCAAGATCAGACGTGAGCGCTTAAAGAAATGCAGATCAAGCTCTACTCCTACAGTAAGACATATGATGCCTGTTTCAACGCATGTTCAAGAAAAAACTCTACTCCTGCAAAGTAGTGTTATTTAATTTGGTACAGTTGTAATCGATGCAAAGCTCAACATTTGATTCCATTATCTCAAAAGCAAGTATCTGCACGTCTAGCTTGCCCATACCACTGTTCTCTCTCCACCCTGGACTGCAATTGTGTTTCCCTGTGTTCTGTGTGTGTTGCAAGCTCTGAGCTCTCCAATGGCAGAGCTGGTGACCACCATGGTGTGAAGGAGGAGGTGTCCAGCTACCTCCTGGCCTAGTACAAGATGATGGAGGGCATGGAGGAGCAGCACAAGATCCTCAATCCCAAGCTTCCAAACCATTAATAGCTGGCTAAGCAATAGCTTAGTTTATATAATCTGTATGGGCCATTCAGTTTAGAATCTTCAGCATGGTGTTGCTTTCCTCTGACTGGCCAAGCAACGGATTAGTTCCTAAGCATGGGCCCTTCAGTTGGTCATTACATTGATTATTAGGAACACTCGAAACATAGGGTGATTCATATATATGAAAAATTGAGGACTGGGCAACTCCAGTGGTACGTGAAAGCGCAGTGGTGTGTCCAGGCCGGTCTGGGTGCAACTCCAGTGGACATGGAATTTAGCCACATCAGAAAATTGCATTCGAATTAGATCACAGTAGTTGATCTGATCCTAGCTCCCTTTCTGTCTTGCAAGTTAGACAAAACGACTACGCCAACAACGAAATGTGCTGTTAAGATGACTGAAGACAAACCAATATACTCATACTTTCTTTGTGCACATTTTGTTTTATGGAGTGTCACACCTCATTTCTGCAAGATATGGCTTTGCTGGTCACGAGTATTACTTCCACTCATTCAATGGGTGTTCATATAGCACTTTGCTGATTTTGTGTTTGCATATGTATATGCTTCCTTTTAAAGTTGACAAAAAATTAACGCTGTCATCTCTGAATGTTCTCCTTTTTTATTCTTGCCATGTTCTGGTTTGGGTGCCACATACTGAAGAATTCAGATGTACTGGACCAGATCCTGTTGCATGTATATAATGAGGTGCTTCTTTCTACAATTAGACACTGAAGACTTGAAAAACTATCATACTGACTTTCCCCAACAATTCAATACTAATTGGCTCCCATTTTCCTAAGCAAGTACCTGCACGTCTAGTTAGCTCATACCATTTGACTGCGTTTGTGTTTAGAATCTTCAAACAAGTACTTACAGTACATAACTAACAAAAAGGTGCTGATGCAAAATGTAGAGAAATAATGAAAGGAAGTGAAACTATTGGAACAGAAGTTCTGAACACATTGTGTTTTTCTTATAGAAACCAATGGAGTAAAGGTAACTAGTGTGTTATTTCGAGTTCTGTCTTTTGGTCCCTACGTCTTCTATTTCTCTCATTGATGTGCTCCCATGTGTGGAACCTAAATAGGAGGACTCTATTTACTGTGAAGGTGATAATCCAGTTATCCTTTTTGTTCTCCAAAAAGCTATTCGATTTCACCTCTTTTGAGTGTTTCCAGTTTGTCTCTGTGGCTGTGACTGACTGAGTATTTTCTTTGAAAAGTTGATATCAGATTCCCCATAAAAGTGTCTCTTAAATGATATTTCACTGGAATCTTCATATTAAACACTAGGATTTTTGTAATCTATTGGTGGTTGAGGCTTAATGCTTTTAAGAATAATAATTTGGCTGCAATTCGGAGCCGTTTCATTGGATGCACATATGTATTGGACTGTTGCAATGCACACAAACCTTTTGTAGCATCCTTTGGGCATCATCTTGTTAAGAAATAAAGATGCCCCAGCCGGCAACATGCCATGCCAAGAAGGTTCAGTCAGCTGTCCCTATTCCTGTACGTCAACCAAGTAACAATGCCGTCCCGAAGCTGAGCTACTGCCGGCTGGAGGGAGTAGTTTATATTTATAAGTACCTAACACATCCACTTGATCCCCCCAAATTCATTACTTGCACTGGCTTCCATTTTCCTAAGCAACTATCTGCACGTCTAACTTGCCCATGCTACCATTCTCTTCTCCACCCTGGACTGCAATTGTGTTCCCCTGTGTTCTGCGTGTGTCGCGAGCTCTGAGCATTCCAACAGCAGAGCGAGTGGCCACTGCTGTACATCGTGAAGGAGAAGGCGTCCAACTACCTCCTGAACCAGTACAAGATTTCCGGTAAAAGAAAATTGTCTTACAAGTGTCTTCGCTGATCTTAGTTGGAAAATTTGGCCATTCGCTAATTGTAGGTTGTAAGTTGTAAACTATCTTTCTGGTTCGCTCTGCAGATCTGTGAAATTTGGTCGCTTGGGAGAACGCTGGTATCGAGGTTGAGGTTCACTGTATTGGATATCATCACCGTTTTGGTCTCACTTGCCGTGGGAAACACCAGGTATGCTATGTTTCCTCCATTCTTATTAAACTCTCGAGATTTAGCTCAGGCGCAACAATTAACACCGAGCATTCGTTTGCCGTACAGCCTCTATCCGTCACAACCAATTGATCCACACAAACATCCAATAAATGGCAGCTCGGACTCCTCCCATTCTCTACTCTGAACTGCTGCTCTGAATCCCCGTGTTCTCCGGAACCCTCTCCAGGTTCAGCGCTAAGGATCTTACCGTGGGGTGTGCTAAGGTACTCACGTTTGGTTCCATTTCTCCTCAGAAGCATATGCACCTGCAGGTCGAGCTTGCTCACACCACCATTATTTTTCTGCCCTGTGTGTGGTTCAGCAGTTGTGGTTCTGTGTGTGCATCTGCGAGCTCTGAGCAGTCCGATGGCAGAGCTGGTGGCCACCATGGTGGTCGGGCCGCTGCTGTCCATTGTGAAGCAAAAGGCGTCCAACTACCTGCTGGACAAGTACAAGGTGATGCAGGGCATGGAAGAGCAGCACAGGGTGCTCAAGCGCAAGCTGCGTGCCATCCTGGACATCATTGCCGACGCCGAGCAGGCGGCGTCCCACAGAGATGGTGCCATGGCCTGGCTGGAGGAAGTCAAGAGGGTGGCCTATGAAGCAAATGAGGTCTTCGATGAGTTCAATTACGAGGCGCTCCGCCGCGAGGCCAAGAAGAACGGGCACTACAACAAGCTTGGATTCGATGCAGTGAAGCTCTTTCCAACCCACAACCGTTTTGTGTTCCGTGACAAGATGGGGAAGAAGCTGTGTAGGATTGTGCAAGCCATCGAGGTCCTTGTGGCTGAGATGAACGCCTTTGGGTTTAAATACCAGCAGCAAGCGCCGGCATCAATGCAGTGGAGGCAGACAGATCATGTTATCTTCGATCCAAAGAAAATCATCAGCAGATCAAGAGACCAAGATACTAAAAATATTGTTGCTACACTACTTGGTCAAGGTAGCAATGAAAATCATACGGTTGTTCCCATTGTTGGAGTAGGGGGGCTAGGCAAGACCACCTTAGCACAGCTCATTTACAATGATCCTGAAGTTCAGAAGCATCTTGAGTTGTTGATCTGGGTTTGTGTCTCTGACAGCTTTGAGGTGGAATCCCTGGCTAAAAGTATTGTTGAATTTGTTCCCAAAAAAGGCGCAGTTCAATCAGATTCCAAGAAAAGCCCGGTGGATAGGCTTCAAGATGAACTAAGCGGACGTAGGTACCTCCTTGTATTGGACGATGTCTGGAACCGAGAGAGTGATAAGTGGGAAAAACTAAAGGCCCGGCTTACACATGGTGCCAAGGGTAGTGTGGTTCTGACAACTACTCGTGATGGAGGAGTCGCAGAAATAATGGGTTCAGTGAAACCCTATGATCTTGCAGAGTTGGAGGATGACTTCATAAAGGAAATTATTGAGACGAGAGCATTCACTTTGCAGAACGAAGAAGAAAGGCCTGCTGAAATAGTGAAGATGGTTGCTGAGATTGTGAAGAGATGTTGTGGCTCTCCATTAGCTGCAACAGCACTGGGCTCTGTGCTGCGTACAAAGACCAGCGAAGAAGAATGGTCGGCTATAGCAAACAGAAGCAACATTTGCACCGAGGAGTGTGGAATATTACCAATACTCAAGCTCAGCTATAATGACTTGTCATCACAGATGAAGCAATGCTTTTCTTTCTGCGCTGTGTTTCCCAAGGATTATGAAATAGATGTTGGCAATCTGATCCAACTATGGATCGCACATGGCTTTATCCAGGAACAAAAGGAAGTTAGTCCTGAAACCATTGCCAATCGGATTTTCAAGGAACTAGCCTCAAGGTCATTCTTTGTGGATGTGAAGGAAATCCGAGTCTCATTCAACGAGCGCTCGGGGAGGGAAAATTATTCCAAACATACATGTAAAATTCATGATCTGATGCATGATGTTGCACTATCTACAATGGAGAAAGAATGTGCTCTCGCACCTGAGAAACCTGGTCAGATAGAGTGGCTTCCAGATACAACTCGCCACTTACTTTTGTCTTGTGAAGAATCAGCAAGTATTTTGAATGATTCTCTGGCAAAAAGATCCCCGGCTATCCAGACGCTGTTGTTGTGTCATAGTTATATTGAAGATTCATTGCAACATTTATCAAAATACAGCTCTTTGAAGGCATTGCAGCTCTACATATGGGACAGACCCTTCCCATTGAAATCAAAGTATCTGCATCACCTAAGGTACCTTGATCTCTCAAGTAGTGATATTGAAGCACTTCCTGAAGATATAAGCATTCTATATAACCTACAAACATTGAATATCTCTCACTGCGAAGAACTTCGCCGGCTTCCAAGGCAAATGAAGTATATGACTGCCCTCCGTCATCTCTACACTCATAATTGTCCAAAGATGAGGAACATGCCTGGTGACCTCCGAAAACTCATGTCACTACAGACACTCACATGTTTCGTAGTAGGTCCTGTTGGCTCTGAGTGCAGTGGTGTTGGAGAGTTGCAGCAGTTAAATCTTGGTGGCCAGCTAGAGTTACATCAACTTGAGAATGTGACAAGAGAAGATGCAAAAGCAGCAAATCTCGAAAAGAAGAAGGAACTCCGAGAATTGACATTAAGATGGACTATTAGTTCTAGTGATGATGTAATAGTGCTCGAGGGTCTCAAACCTCATAATGGGCTGCAGGCTGTAAGGATAGAATCCTACGGAGGCACCACCTTTCCAGCGTGGATGGCTATGTCGCGAAACATGGTTGAGATCCATATTTCCAATTGTAAAAATCTGCGATGGTTATTCAGTTGTGATACATCCATCACTTTTCCAAATCTTAAAGAGTTAACACTACAAAGCCTGGAATGTCTGGAGGGATGGTGGGAAATAAAAAACAAGGAGCGAGGAGAAGAGATAATATTTCCTGAGCTTGAGAAGTTGTCTATTGTTGGTTGTGCAAAGTTGACAGTGTTACCCGGCAGTGAAAAGATGGCAGCATTATCAAGAAAAGAAAAGATTTGCAGAGAGCTGACAACAAGAGCCGAATCACCAAAGCTCAGTGTGTTAGATATTGAGGCAAATATGCAAGAGATGTTGCTGTGGGTTGCTAGACATATGACTTCATTGACCACGCTGAAACTGAATAACCGTGAAAAATGGACGCCTGAAACAGAAATAACCTTGGCGGCGACTGTTGATCATAGTTTGGCACAAGTGGTGGATGCCATTGAAATTGGAAAAAAATCATGGTTTGCCTCTGGCAAATATGAAATTAGTTGGCTTTAAGTCAGGTGTAACAGAGCTATGTGCATGTTTTATACAGCTTCAGAACTTGTGCATTGAGGGTTGTTCTGCGCTTGTTCACTGGCCAGAGAAAGAGTTCCAAAGCTTGGTATCCTTGCGGTGTCTCGAGATTATTGACTGCAAACAACTGGTTGGATATGCACAAGCTTTTGCAGCTGAGTCGCCAACAACATTAGAATCCTCGAGTCAGCTCCTACCACATCTTGAGTCTCTCGAGATATATGGTTGTGTAAGCATGGTAGAGGTCTTCAAACTCCCTGCATCCCTAAGGAGAATGACAATTGAGGATTGCAGTATGCTCAAGTCCATATTCAGCAGGAGACCGCAGCAGGGAGAGTCAGCATCATCAATTCTTCTAGGGTCACCCGTACATTCAGAGGTGTTAGCATCATCAGCCGTAGCCAGGGTGGAACATTCTCTCTTTCCATGTTTAGAAGAGATATCCATAAAAGGGTGTGACAGCTTAACAAGGGTCCTCAATCTTCCCCCGTCCCTCAAGAGATTTGAAGTTTTTGAGTGTGATGAGTTGAGATCAGTGCAATCTCACTCAGAAGAGTTCTCATCATTGGAGGGCCTCTTTATCAAAGATTGCAAAACCCTGTCATCCCTATCGGATGGGCTACAAGCATACACACCTCTCCAGTATCTTTGGATTGAAAACTGTCCTGGTATAAAGAGGCTCCCTGCAAGCCTGCAGCAACGTCTAAGCAGCCTTGAGAGGAAATATCTAGATGCCCATCTTCAAGGTACGCACTCTCCCGCATCAGCTTCCTTCTATTAGCTCGTCACATTTCAGAAACAAATTCAGAACCCTTCCAGATATACAACTACTCGAGCTGGATGGAAAAACTCTAGCCACTTAGCTAGCTAGATACGGAATTTAAACGAAGAGGATCTTGTTTTTTTTTTCAGTGTAATAACAGCAACCATGTGTTACGGACTCCCTCAGCCCTTTGGAGATTCCAATATGGACTACATACGGAGCAAAATGAGTGAACCTACACTCTAAAATATGTCTATATACATCCATATGTAGTCCGTATTGAAATATCTAAAAAGGCTTATACTTAGAAACGGAGGGAGTACATGTGTACACTCACTAATTCCTCCGTTTTTTGTCTCAAAAAAAAACTAATTCCTCCGTTTCTAAATATCTGACCTTTTAGAGATTTCAATGCGAACTACATACGGATGTATATAAATGCATTTTAGAGTGTAGATTCACCCATTGTGCCCCGTATGTAGTCTATATTGAAATCTCTAAAAGGTATCATATTTAGAAATCGGAGGGAGTATGGTACTTTCATTAGTATACTTATTCACTGTGACATCACTTGTGAACAGAGCCTAGTCTACTGAAGCCCAAGACATGGAGAAATGCCATCCGCTGAGATTAGTGAGCTGTCAAGATGCAACATCATTGCCATGGGAAGTCATTATGTCACGCCAGCACTATGGGAAGCTGTGACCAATCAGCAGCAGGATTTATGTTCGGAGTGTTTTTTTTTCAGTGTTGATTGTGCACAGCTCCTCCTTTGCAGAACTGTTTCCGTGCCTGCCTAGAACAGAAATCATGCATATTTGGATAGAGTATGTATTGTGGTGCTTTCGTTTGTGATCCAAGAATTCTGTCACACTTGATTTGAGTATGTCACTGTATTTTCCTGTTCCAAGGAATGTAACAAGTTATGTTATGTGCGTCCTCTGGCTTTGATTTGGAACACACCAGCTAGCTGTATCTCAGATAGCTGATGACCTTTTATGTATCTCCTTCCGTGTGGTTTCAGTATTCACTGTATCACTAACTTGCATGCGTGAGCTGCTACTCCCTTTGTAAGAGCAAATGTGTGGTTTCCTGGCTTATGCAGATTGAGTTTTTTATATTCCTCTTATCCAAACAACGCCTAACCTCCC